ACGAGGGCGGGTGGGGCCGCGACGGCGCCCCCAAGCACTTCTACAGCTCTAGCCTCCCCCGCAGCGGCGGCCGGCGCCACGCGCCCCTCATGGGCGAGTCCCCGCCGAGCCACCACGTTGGCTGGCTCATGGGCGCCACCCCGCCTGACGGCAACGGCCTGCTGGGCACGTCCCCGCAGTTCGGCAGCGGCGGGCGCGGCCACGGCGCGGGGCTGTTTGGCAGCAGCCCGCGCACAGGGGCGCACAGCATGGGCACGAGCGCGCCGCTGGGCAAGTTCCAGCACCCGAGCCACTCGCTGCTGGAGGACGGCGGGTTCAAGCAGATCCGCTACGTCAAGTACTACCGGCGCTGCATCGAGGACCGCGCGGCAAAGGGTGAGCCCGGGCACGCGCAGAGTTTGGGGCTGCGCGGCAGCAGGGGCCCTGGCGCGGGCACCGCGCGCGCCGCGCCCTGTGCGGCGGACGGCGCGGCCCCCCGTGTGAGCGGCGCCGGGTGCCTCCTGTTGGCGGCCGTGCGGCCTGCATCGCGCGCCCTCCGAGCTCTTGCCGCGCCCCCGCGCGACGCCCACGCTCCCCCTGCGCCCACCCCCGCGCCCGGCCCCGCCCCTCCCTCCTTACAGGCATCGGCCAGAGCGAGGAGATGAACACGCTGTTCCGCTTCTGGTCCTACTTCCTGCGCGACCACTTCAACGACCGGATGTACCAAGACTTTATGAAGTGAGCACCGCCCGCAGAAACGCGGCCTCCGCCGCTCGCGCTCGGAGGCTCAAGAAGGGGGGGGCGCGCGGGGGCAGCGGCACGGCGGCGAGCCGCCTGGGATCTGCGGGAGGCCGCGCGCGGCGTTCGCCTCCGGCCGCCATCCGCCACGGCGGCCGCGCAGAGGGCTTGACGCGCGCCATCGTGGTGTTGGCGCTGGTCATGTGCGCTCAACGCCCCGGCCGCAGCCATCACCGACCACCCCGCCGCCCCGCGTCTCTGCCCCCGCAGGTACGCTGACGAGGACGCGGCCGCCAACTACATGTACGGCCTGGAGTGCCTCTTCAGGTTCTTCTCGTATGGCCTGGAGAACAAGTTCAAGCCCGAGCTGTACCGCGACTTCGAGGCGGTGGTGCTGCGCGAGTTCAAGCAGTACAACGGGCTGTACGGCCTAGAGAAGCTCTGGGCGTTCCACCACTACTGCGGACTGCCCGCGGACTGCGACTTGGAGGTGGACCCGGACCTTAAGGCGCTGCTGGAGGGGCCGTACAAGACGCTGGACTGCTTCAGGGACGAGCAGCGGCGGCGGGAGGCTCAGGCGGCGGGTGGCGGCGGCGGCGCAGGGGGGCATGGGCACGCGGCGCACCATCATCACAGTGGACCGCACCCACAGCAGCAGCAGCAGCAGCAGAAGGGGCAGCAGCAGCAGCACAGCCAGGGGCAGGGGCAGCGGCAGCAGCAACAGCAACAGCCAGTGAATGGCGCGGCCGGGGCGGCTGTCAAGGCCAGCTGAGGGGGCAGGTTGGCGCGCAGGCCGGCACGCGCGCTCGCCAACAGGCACCCGCATTGTCTTGACCAGCTAGGCTGTGCTGGACGCCGGCTGCTCGTGTACAGGGGTCATGCCAGAGGAACAGGCAGCAGAGCCGCTTTTCTACTTTCAGCAGACGATAATCAATCGCATCAGTCACACAGTGGGGACGATGGACGGGTTCGACGACCGCGGCGCGGCTGCTGCTGCTGTTGAGGGCCAAGGTCGTGTGGGGCTGCAGCCTTTAGTTGATTGAGGATAGACAGTGCTTCCCACTTTGTGCTCCGTTATTCTCTTTTCCCCCATGTCTCTACCTCAACCGAGAGGACGCAACCGTGGCTATTTCTGACCGGTACATGTGTATTCTTGTGTGTTTGTGTGTTTGGGAGGGGGTTTGCTTGTGCTTGACGCTTGGGCCTTCTCAGGGCATGCCCCCGCACCCCATGCGCACCGCTGACCATGCAGGCAAAAGGCGGGGGTTTGCATGCTGAGGGCCGGCAGGGAGGCCCCGGGTCGGTGTTCAAGAATGCATCTTGCACATTGCGCCCTCAGATACGTACCTTTGGCGGGCTGCTCCCTCAGATACGTACCTTTGGCGGGCTGCTCCCAGCAGGATGCGTACGCCCCTAGTGCTGTCGTGTGTTGAGCCGGAGCGTTGAGTTTGGCAGCTGATCTACAACAATTGATGCCTTGGCTGGCAATGTGTGCCTCACACTGGCCCAGGAATTTGAACAATATTGCGTGGTAATAACGTTTCTCTGATGCATTCTGGAGTTTGGAGGCGGCCAGTCCGCATTGGTGGGCTCGCCGCGCAGCGAGCATGACAGATGCAGCTGGCTTGCCTGACCGCGACCAATGGCAGTTCGCGAAGGAGTAGAGCCTACGGGGCTTCCTGCATTCTCTGGGCCCGGTCTAGGCGTCTGGTGGGTGCACGCCGTCGGCCCCTTGGGTTCATGGATGACTGGGATCAGGCGGCATCCGTGCGTGCTGGTCAAACCCTGCTGACAATGCTCTACAGTATGATGCTGCGCCCATCCCATCATACCAATTGATTGACGTACACGACTACGACTTTGCTAAATTGTGGTTCGGCACCCGAGTCGCGCCAGATCACGCTCATAATCAAAAAATAGCGTGAAGGGTTGCAAATCCACTCTTGGTCGAAGATCATATGACGGAAGCGACCGTGTACTTCGATGAGGTATGGCTTGGTAGTAGGACTGGGCCCTGCAGGCACCGGCGCAAACCGCAGGAACGTGCGGGCGCACCATCGCGCCTCATGCCCGGCTCGTGCCCCTCAGGACTGCAAAGTCAGGGTGCTGGATGTCGACAGCTACAAGAGTTCCAAGTCCCTGCAGGTGCGCTGCCTGATAATGCTCAAATCAGCGCTGCTGGCCTGCCTCCCTAGCCACAATCGCATTCCCACAATCGCCAACGGGCGCCACTTGTCGGCACGCAACAACCAGTCAGCCTGCAAACTCCCGCCCTCCCCCGTTCCTGCAATAACACCCGCAGGAGGAATGCGGCGTGATGGTCAGCAGCATGGAGCAGCTGCAGGCAACGGTGGACAAGTATATGGCTGCAGTCGGCCAGCAGGTGGACCGGATCGAAGCTGAGAAGCTCCGTGCCGTGGGGCTGCGCAACAGGGTGGCCGCGCTGCATGAGGTGAGGCTGGCGAACGGCATGGATACACTTGTTCAACTGGCAAGCGGAGAGCATCGTAGCGGCAGCCGGGCTTCACTGCCTGGGTTGTTGAGGAGAGGAGCGGCACGCGGCATCGCGCCCCAGCCCCGGGTGTGGGGGCTGCTGCGGGTCACCGACCGGGCCTGTGCGCTGCACGCAGGAGCGCCGCCGCAAGCGTCAGGAGCTGCTGCAGCTGCTTCAGGAAAAGCAGGAGGGGCTGGACCGGCTACTGGTGGAGGAGGAGAGCCTGCGGCGCGTGCGGCAGGAGCAAGACCTCATGATAGCGAAGCTGTCAGACCCCAGCGGCGCGGCCTGATGACATGGTAGAGAGGCGGGCGTGGTGGTGCCTGCCCGGGCACGTTGCAAAGGTTTTTGTGTTGTGAGTGCTGGAGACAGTGTGGGCCCACGGGACCTTCAGGCCTGCCTGGCTGCTACCTAGAGCTGGACCCACAACACCATGGCTTCGCTTGAGACCATATAGAGCATGCTTGGGGCCATACAGAGCATATGATCTTTCAGAACCGTTTGGGTCACATGTGTTGGTGCCGTGTGTGCCGACAGGACGGCCTGTGAATGAGTGAAGGGTGCAGCAGCCGATCGCAGGCTGCAGGCGCTGGCGCCAGATGTACGCTACCGTTGAGAGGTGGGGTGACTGTTGGCATGACCGTGTGAATCTCTTGGCTAATGAAATCATATCGTACGGTATGTTTAAGGGTGTCAATCTTACGCCATCGCCTCAAGCTTCATCAAGCCAGCCCGGCCTCCAACAGACAGCGCGGGGCCTTGCTTGGTGCTGGCCAGCGAGGCCACCCTCACCCCCAGTCGTTGCACTGACCAGCCTCAGTTTTTTCCTTTCACTCATAGCAGCTCTCTCGGACAGTCCCGTTTCAAACATCGTGATCTCGCCCTTCGCGCCAGGCAGATATGAGCGGAGCGGACACACCTAGGGGCCCGTTTCTCACGTACGATGCCGCAACACCCCTCTGCCCCGGCGCGCCGCGCAAGGCGCGACCACCGCCGGGCCACTTTGACGTGAGCGCACTGCATCGCACCGCGCTCCCGCCTCAGGCATGCAACCCCACGCGCCGCCGCATCTCTGGCTGGTCTGCACATACAGGCACAGCCAACTAACCCACTCATAGATGGCGCCCGATGGCATGCAGCCACCTTGCCTCATCAATGTTGTACAATGTATCCTTCCCACGAGGCGCGTGCATGCACTCACACATCCTTGGCCAAACTCGGGCGCCGCTGTCCCCTACGTGCCTCGCAGCTGTCACAAGATGCGCCGATGCGTCGTATCAGCTTTGGCTTCGGCCCTGGCGCCCGGGTCTCAGTGGGAGAGCCCTCAACCCAGCAGGTCACCGTGATGCAGCCGGAGCAGCAACAGGAGGCTCAGGCAGGGTTGGAGGAGCAGCAGGCGCAGCAAAGACTGGCACAGCAGCAGCAGCAGCACCAGCGGCAATTAGAGACGGTTGTATGGCAGGGGCCGCACGGCGCGACGGCCTCCGCAAGTGGCGCAGAGGAGCGGCGCGTCAGCCCAGCGCAGCAAGCCGCCGGGAGGGACAGCCCGCTCCAACGCCAGCGGCACCACAACCTGCACCAAGACCCAAACGCACTGGAACTGAGCTCGCCCACGCTGCCGACCAGGTTCACCTGCCCGCCGCTGGCAAAGCGCCCCCGCACAACCTCCACGTCCGTGCGCTTGTTCCGCTGAGGCGCCCCGCTCATTTCGCCCCGTATGGCGCCATGCGAGCGACAGTGCTGGCGCCCTCATCTGCTGTGGCATGTTGCATATAGGGTACAGTTGAGCGAACGCCATCGCCAGGGCTTTCCGCCTGGCAGGAGGCTTGACCTATCATTCACTGACGAGTAGTTGAGAATGATGCTGACGCAAATGTTGACTCGCCCTATTGCACACAAGCCGGAAGTATCCACAATTTGGGTGCGGCTGCGAGAGGCCTGGATTCACAACAAGATGGCAGGAACGGGCTGCGAATCGGCTCTTGTGCAGCGGCGTGCGTGGCAGCGCCCACTGGACTTGTCGCCCACCCTTGGGCAGCATCTGCTGCAACGGCTGCGACGACGGGGGCGCCGCCCCTGCATGTATGTTTTCCCAATAGGCATGTGATCGTGCCGTGGTCTGGTCTTCAAAGATAGGCTGCTTTTTACGTCATCGCCCCAGACACCTGGTTCAATTGGCGGCTGTCTTCTCCTGCGTTTCCTGTAGACGGGCAAGCCGCGCAAGTGACTGCTTCACAGCCGCGCATCAACGGCACTGGTACATAAGTGCGTGCAAGATAGGCAGGATTTTGACAATGTCGGCTGAGCTGACACTCAATGACCATCGGCATCGCAGTTGCATTTTGCATTTGGTTGCAAATTTTTCGTCAGGTTAGACGGGCTGTAACACAAGCATATGATTTGCAGCAGCGTGTTCCGATGAATTGAAGCTGTGCGGCATCTGTAAACACCCAGAAACGACTCACCACGCGATACAGTAGACACAAGCAGCTGGGCACACGTGGCTTGATGCAGTAGTCAGCAACCAGACCGCTGTGCCGCCACGCGGCAATACACAAGATTGTTGTTTTATGTTGCATGAAGATGTCGACTCCAACCGCATGGCATCTGGAGTGTTGACAGCTGAATGGTGGTGTGTCTGAGCGCCCAACGGGCGGCCTGTGGCATCTGGGACGTCCTTTTGCATGAGGATAGTACGTGCTGTCCCTTGCAACCACCGTCTGGCATTGCAGCGACATCCCTGCACAAAATAAAGCAAACTTCAAGTCCCCTGCAAGTTGTGCACTAGGAGGTGCTGCTCGCAGCCTGCCCAACCGCACAGAGCAAATTTTGCTGTGCAGCATGCAAGGCTCATAATCTGCTCTACAAGCACGCGAATGGCCGCCAGTGCACTGTGCCTTTCACACCCCCGAGGAGTAGGTAGGAAGCTATTTCTGCGCTAAACCTTGCGAACTTCTGGTGACTGGACTGGAAGCTGTGCGCTGCTATTGGCGCGCGCCGTGACGGTTAGAAGCAATGCCTGGGCGGAAGGGGCTCAATTTGCCGCCAGGTGGTGCAAGCTGTCATCTGGGCGTTAAGCGGGTGCCCTCAGCTGTGCGTGCTCTTTGCTAGGAACCCCTACCTGCTGCGTGTGAGTCCCTTCGCACGGCATTATTGCAGCGCCAGCCAAACACAACCCCATATCATATTGTAGACACGCGCGTGACACCCTGCAAGATTACAGTTGAGCGTTCAGGGCGAAGTTGGGCCGGCAGCTTGCAAATTTCTCCCGACATTCAGGAGTTTCTTCAGTGTTGTTGACGTGCTGTGTGGGCGGTGCCACGCCTACAGGATGTCTCGTGTGCGAGCATGCTGGTACTCACAGACACGTGTGAAGGTCAGGTCTTGCTTGAGCATCACTTGCCAAATTGACATCCTACCAGTATACACCCGTTCAACTCTTTGTCGATGAAGATCAGCTTTCAACCTTGCAGCGTGCGGTCAATCGCTGAGTGAAGTCCACCCAACCCCTTTCACTTCAAGGAAGTCCAGACCACGCGGCCCTGATGTGTCTGATCGCACCATCAATTATGATGCCATAATTGTACTGCCATAGAGCTCATCTTGATAACCAGGCGAGGTGGTGTGGAGCTCTTTCGATGGAGGGGCTGGCGGCGGCGGGCACCTTGCCAGCGAAACTTACTAAGCCCTCATGTGCCCAACCATCTCAGCAATCAAAGCATCTCAACAACCGGGGAGTATACTTTTTCACACAACTTGCAGGCACATCTACGCGCGCGGCCAGCCCAAGCAGGATGCAGGCTTTCAAGGCTCACGTCCCGCGCGCCCGCGCTGGGGCGGTCTCTCGCCGTGCATCTGTGCGAGTGCGGGCGGACAAAGTGTGCATCGTCAACACCAAGGTAGGAGGATCATGTTTTTCTCCTGCGCGCTCGCAAGCCCATTGCCTCTCATCGTTCGCAAATAAATTGTTCGTGGCATGTTTAAAAGTATGGCTCTAGCAGGCGGGCTGAAGCGCACCACAGTGGTCGCTGCACAGGCTCAACGCCATGCCGGCGCACTCGCTGGTGCCGCACCCCGCCTCAACAGGGTGGTGGTCACGCCTTCATCGGCCTCCACCTGGCAAAGCAGCTGATTGCCAAGGGCCACGACGTCACTATCTTCAACGATGGCGATCAGGTCCGAGCGGCTGGCGGACTGCAGCATTCAGCATTCAATTCACGATGCCGCCTCATGCCAGGACCCAGAAAACAGATCCTGGGAAAAGCCACGCAGCGGGATCCGCGCATGCAAGATCGTGAGCAGCTGACTGCGCCCTGCACGCATGCACGCACGCAGTTCCCCTACACCGCAGCGGGCGAGCCCCTCAGCCCCGCCCACGCACCGGCCCCGCAC